TTATTCTAATGTTGTTTCGATGATGTAAGTTTGTAATTTTCATGTGACCTTTTGATTATATTACTTTTTTTTTACACACGTTTCGTAATATGACCAGATTGAACTTTAAGGCATAAAATAATAACGATAATGTACATATTTTAAATTTTACGTCGTACACACGATGCGAAATATAGTAATTATATGATTTAGGAATTGCCATATTAAATTTTTTTTCTAGTTGGCGCATAAAAATTGTGACAAATCTCATTATACTACATGCATAACTGTTTCATTTTTTCATTTTTTTCAGGTTGCGCCCTACATTATGTTGCATGCATTTTCATTCATTTTTTTTATTTTTTTTTTTTTATGATTTCAATGTGTAAAAACATGAAAATATTGATTATTAGATTTACTTGTTATTGTAATTTAAAGTCAATTAGATTTTTTATTTTAAAAAAATAAATTTTATTAGGGTATAAGTTATTTTTATTAATTATTCGATTTAATATTACTTATGTAGATGCATTCTAATTGCTAATAGACTAATAAAAAATTAATTGATATTAATATTAGTTCAATTGACGTTAAAAAACTTTTAAATTCAATGGAACTTTACATAAGTGAACGCTAAGAAAAATGTAGTTGCTGCTCCTTAAGGATAATGGTTCATTTGATAACTCCATAAAGTTCATATGTCTATTTGTTGAATCACTTAATCTCAACTTATTTAATCATCTAGTCAAGTGTTCCATGAATTGTCATTTTCTTGCGAACCTTAGATTATTTTACAAAAACCTTTGAATTATTGCAAATAGTGCAAATTATGTAATTTCCAATATTCAAAGTTGTTTATATTTATTTTGGATGCATTAAATCATCTTGCCGCATTGCAGATACATGAAGTAACGTTTGCATATTGCAAAGATCCCACAATCACGTATAAATGTGTGGACAAGATTTATGTGAATTTTGAATTGCGCTTAAAAATTTTAATGCTAAATTATCAAAATTTCCATTAACTTTTATTTATTAATTTAAAGAACGGCTGTCAAATTCAGTTTCTTATTTAATTAAAAAAAAAAATATAATAAAATAAAATAAAAATTCGTTAGTGATTTACATTTAAAATTCCAATATCTTCAGGTAAATTAAACTAAGATATTAGGATTTCTATGTTCCTAACCACTTCTTAACTTTTGACAATACTTATCTTTCTTGTTATTTATAAGAATATTCTTTGTATAGCCTTACAATAAGATATAAATAGGCAGGCTCTAAAAAGTAATAATATTTATAACAAAAATTTTACCTTTGTCGAATAAATAAATGAATTCTCCGTTAAAAACTTTCCACCATGCCATTACTATCTAAATAAAAAATGCTTTCTAATCTAACAAACCTAACATAAATTTACATATTAACTCGTATAGTTAAAATTTTATTGAAAAAAAAATCTTGATACAGAGTTGATGCAGTCTATGTTAAATGAAAATTAGTTGAAATTATGTAAATTATAAACAATAGTTGATTTGATGAAAGGGAGAAAGCTTATTTGATTAAAGAATGCTGCGAGGTTGATCGCAATCGTAGAATTTTGTTGGCAGCACCTTTTTTTTCTTACACAGGGTGATCATAATTCAACTTGTTTATTCTTTTATTCAACGCATTGTACTCCTTGGTATTTTTTATCTGGATCAAATTATGAACCACCACATCAACAAGGACCACGTTCATGAATAGCCCCGGAACGATTTTAACTAAAAAAATATTGCAAAAGCCAATCAGCATCGACTCAATTTTTGAGCGGGACACATTGCTTCGTTACGGAACGGTTTCGCATAATTTTACTATGATTTACGTTGAAGATATTAAGAGAGTTCTACCTTCTCTTCGTCATCATATGACATTTGGTTCACCACTTATATTATATACACAATTTCTTCAGTGTTTTGTTTAAACTATCGTAAATAATATGAAGGTTTTATTGATAATACATCACCGGTTTAATGAATAAAAAATTTTCTTGAAAAATAAGAGATACCTTTGGTCTGTAAATTAAAAATATCACTTCATTGGTAAATCCTAAAAATAAAAAAAATTTCACTTAAATCTAACGGAATTGCATCATCATAAGGGTTTCTGACTTCGTGAAATAGTTTAATTCTAACGGCCTGAATTTTTTAAAAACAAAATGGTATAACCCAGTGTATTCTGACAAACCTTTTGCTATTTGTTTTTATAAAAAATGTTAATGTGGCAATAATTGCCGTTAAAAAAAAATAATTACTTTTTGGGCGGGTTGACGTTTAACAAAAAAAAAAAAAAAATGATTTCCACAATTCTAAACCTTGAGAATATAGAATAGATCGACCATCCATTCAAAACGACTCTAAACGTACCCCACATACCACAGATTGATCGACAAAAAAAAATAATTACCATTATATATAAACAAGAGATTTTTTTCTAAAAAAAATTAAATAACCTATCAATATATCATACAATAAATTATCTTTTGTTTATTAAACCAAAATCATGCCTAAAAATTTGAAGCAAACAAAAAATAAACGTAATAATCCGTTTATTATTGGTTCAAATAACGATCCCATGTTGAATATAGAAACCAATATTATCAGTTCCAATATTGTTCTCGTTGAACTCAAGCCGCATTTCCCTCCTACTTTGACAACAGAATAACTCATTAAAAATGCTATTAAATCCAACGCATCCAACAACAGTAAGGTTAAAACGCTTCCAAACGCTTTTATCGCGTATAGAATGGCATTATAAAAGGAATATTATAAGAATACCATTAAATTACCTCCAATGGGTCAGTTATCAATAATCGCAAAAAATTCTTGGAATAAAGAACCACAAGAGGTAAAAAATTTTTACAATAATCTAGCTAAAGAAGCTAGATTATTGTATAAGCAAAACACTTTTCAAATCATATTTGATAAACGAATGAATGAAGTTGAAAATGACCAAGGAAACGGGCAGGTTGCACCTTTGCATGTGAAAGGTGAAATTTTTGCGGCAGATTTGGGTTATGCCGATAGTACCCAAACTAAAGATGTTGAGACTATGTTCGATGCGCAAAACTCGTCAAATGGATTTCTTAAGATTGTGGATTCTACTGTCGATGCTATGGATTCTTGATTTAATAATGGTTCGACTAGCATTTCTCAAGTTGAAACTTATCCCGATCATAACTTTTTAGAAGATCCTAACGATCATGAGTATAAGCAAATGCTGGTGCAAATTAGCATCAATTTATTTTTACACGACTTACGTGAAAATTATTTACTTTGAATATTTCATTCAATATTACGTATCAGAAACAATGACTTGGAATAACAAAAATTTATCTGTTACTGCGCATCGCCTTACCCGAAGATCAAGAAAAGTTTTGATTCTTGAGAATTTTGTATAAATATAGCATTTTTGCTTTTGTTTTAGATAGTGGAATTTGAATAACCTCTCTTAAGCAATTTTTAAAGAGTGCCGAGCGAGTAAGCAAGCAATTGTTGGTTTCTTTTTGCATTTCTTAATATAATTATGTTCCATTAACGTTAAATTTTCGGTTAATATAATTTTGAAAATTGATCGAAATTCGTGTGCCAGATATGGATCTAAAATAACATTTTTAATACACTTATAAATTTTTTTATCTGTTACGTAATTCTTAAATCTTAGATACATTTTACTTTAAATAATATGAATTCATTTTTAAAGATTTGACGATATGCGATTTAACGTCCAAGTTATTATTTAAAAAATAAAATTTTATTACTTATTAAGCTTAATAAATTAAATTGGAAACATAAAATTCACGATCTAAAGTTGAAAGTGTCTGAAGGTTAATAATACTGTAAATCTTTAATTGATGAGATGTATAATTTTAAAATTTTTTAAATTTTCGGTAGAAAGACTTGTCGTTTATAAATTTTATACTAGTGGCACGCAAAAGTGAACTCTTAAATGGTATTGGGTTTACATAAAATATTGTAGTTGCTAAGTATATATATATATATTTTTTTTAACAAATTTAAAGGTCATTTACGATCATTACGATTTATATTATGAACATTTATTTAAGATGTCATCATTTAGGATTGTTTTAGATATTAGTTCGATGAGAAACAATTTGCTCCAAATAGTCAGCCATGTACTGTATATATATCAAACCATGTTACATAATAATAGACGAATTTACCAACGAAGCTAACGAAGTTTTTATGTT